TGATGTATCCATTACGTAGATGACAACTGTTGGAAATGAAGATGCCTAAAGCCACAAAACAACCAGAGCCTTCGTCAGAGGACTCACACTCTGCCAAGCTCCTTTCCAACCTTCCCTATCAAGGGGAAATCACTTTAGGCAGGTGTGCAGAGCTTCCATCACTCCCTCTCTTGTTAACTCCAGGACAATTAAAAAAAAAAAAAGGACGCTAACCCAGTCTTCCCTTCCACCTAAGTAACAGGTTTAAGAATACTGACCAGGGCCTCAGTAATGATTGTCCCAGAGGCTGACCACGTGAATACTTCAATCTGTCCAGGTGTGTCAATCAGGACATACCTGTGTCAAAAAAGAGCATGAAATTAGTGTTAGCCATGCACAGTACTAGAAGACATTCCGGCACAGGAAACATTGTATGTTTATGCCAGGCAGAAATAACTATTAGCAAGTTAAATAAGTGTTATATTGTGTTACTTTTAAAACTAGAATATTATTTCTCTGAACCATGTATTTAAACAAAGGTTAGAGAAATATTATTACAAAGGCTTGAATGCTGACAAATATAGTTTTCTTCAAGGCAGGAATACAATATTTCAAAATATCTTTTTATAAGCCATGTAAATTGGAGACCAAATTTGGGGGTGGGGGGAGCAAATCACAGTAAATTTACTTCCATACTGTACAGCATCTTAACGATATGCTTGGCCTTTTGTTTGTTTACTTTGTAGTTTCATGTCAGTCTCAAGCTTTCAGAGCTTGGTGTTACCCCCAAATTCTCGAAAAAACCCAGAACTACATCAACTGCAGAGTATGGAGAGGAGTTGAGCCGCAAGCACTTACTTAGACATGTTCTGGGCCTTCTCGATAAATTTCATCACCTAAAAGAAAAAGAGGCCACTTGCAACAGGATCTGACTTCAACACAAAATCCCGGGACCCTCTGCACAGTCACATGACAGGCACCAAGAGCTGCTCAAACCGGGCTCTCACTTATGGACTGAAGCAGCAGAGCCGCAATGGCAGCGCTTCAACGGCCCAGGGGCAGGGCGAGGCCCTGAGAAGCTCAGGGTTTGCCCCAGCACTCTCAAGTCATGCATCTGGATGCACGGTCAGATACTGCCTGTCTCATGGAGCAATATTGGTGTAAAAAGCTAGTTACTGTCAGACAATCTTACCAAAGCAGTTAGCATAGAAAACCTAATGGAAGGTAAACATTTGTCACAAGTAAAAAGCCCCATTCTCTTTACATTCCACGCCTGTTGGCCCGTCCCAGCATCCCACTCACCTGTTCCCCAGCCCATCCTCAGGAGAACAAACATACCTGATCAAATCTGGTAGCAAAGAGATTCAGTGAGGTCACTATGCCACCATTGGGCCCAAGTCCGTATCTATACACAAAGTTGAGGAGTTAAATTGCTTACAGATTGTATCAGAAAGCTCACACCTACCACGTCACCCAAACAGCATCAATGCTCCATTAACAGATTCTGGCAATCTAACCCTTGACTATCACACAACTTTAACCACATAGGGAAACATTCACCATCAAGGTCTTCATTCATTTACCATTTTAGGGGTGACCAGAAAGGGAGAGGAAAACAAAGGATCCAAAATACAGCAGAGAGCTGCATCTAGCCGTGGCAGGCTGCCGGCCTTAGCCATGAAGACCATCTTGCTCTCATCTCTGATCTACGCAAGTCCAGCAGCCTGCTGATTCACCGAGAGTTACCCCAGGGAGTACACACATTTCCGGTCGCAGTGTCCTAAGAAGTAATCGAACCACACATACTCATTTCTGAGTCTCCAGGTCTGCAGAGGTGCGCATCAATGGAGGCATCCTCACAGGCCGTACTGCCCTGAGCACCCAGGTAGCTGCCACCTTCCCTTTCTCTCACCGCACACAGGGGAACTGATAACACGGAACCCAGAAGCGAAAATACTCCAATAACCTACAATGCCTCTTCCACATTCACTCTGCATCCTCCTAATAAAATGATTTTAAAGCACAATCAATGTTTTTGTGTATTTCAAAGGAAAGGCAAAAACATTCTCAAAGCCATCACACACAGAAATCAGCCTGGAGGGAGTCAACGCTGCAGCAATGTAAAAAAGGATACTGTTTCATGACTTCTTTATACTTCACAGTGTCACGGATATCTGAAGGCGGGGAAAGAAATACATTTGATATGAAAGAAAAACACCATTTAAAACCCTCTGCCTTAATGTCCTAAGCCAATAGCCCTCTCAAGTCACCTCTGCTTCCTCAGAGGAAAAAAGAAATCTTTCTCTCGGTATCTGACTGACTTCTCACACTGCTCTGAGACTTTCAGCTGAGATCACTGAATGGCTATCAAAGAAGGCAGTAAGACTGTGAGGGAAAATAAAACCAGAGGGGTGAAAGGTAACCTATCAAAACCTTCCCTCCCAGCAAGAAATGAGGACCAGCCTAGCAGGCCTCTCTGGCCAACATTTTCTTCTACTGATTTCTTTTACCTTCTTGTTGCCTCCCTTCTTTCCAAGGATAACTGTCAAGTAATTCTTGAAGAATGTTGGTTAAGAGCCCTCAAGGTATGGCAGAGTATGGTCTGAGACAAGGTCAAAGTTCTATGCCTTAAATTATTGAAGGCTGGGCCTCGTACGGTGGCCTAGTGGTTAGAGTCCTTCCCTTGCATGCGCTGGGATCCGATATGGGTGCTGGTTCTTATCCCAGCAGCTCCGCTTCCCATCCAGTTCAGCACCAGCCATTGTGGCCACTTAGGGAGTAAATCAGTGAATAGAACATCTTCCTTTCTGTCTCTACTCTTCTCTGTATATCTGATTTTCCAATAAAAAAATAAATCTTTATAATCAGAGACTATACAGAAAACGGGAGCTCAAATTTAAAAGTTGGTTATTCTGCTTATTGTGCACTGGTGACAAATAACAAATAACACAGCCAAGCTTTCTAAACAGGCACAAAGGGCAGATGTTTGGTCTGGAGGTTAGGTTAACAGTTGGACACAGGTGACCTATGTTGAAGTGCAGGGTTCTGACCCGGCCTTACTTCCCAGTTGGTTTCTGGCTGACAGGAGCTCTGGGAGGTAACAGTGTTTGCCTTGCATCCATGGGCGGCCTGGATCGACTTCCTAGGTCCTCACTTTTATCCCTGCCCGAGGACCCTATAGGCATTTTTCTTTTTTTTTTTTATAAGATTTATTTATTTTTACTACAAAGTTAGATATGTAGAGAGAGGAGGAGAGATAGAGATAAATATCTTCTGTCCAATGATTCACCCCCCCAGGGATTGCAATGGCCGGAGCTATGCCAATCTGAAGCCAGGAGCCAGGAACTTCTTCCACGCAGCTGTAGGATCCCAATGCTTTGGGCCATCCTTGACTGTTTTCCCAGACAGGGAGCTGGATGGGAAGTGGAGTTGCCGGGATTAGAACTGGTGCCCATATGGGATCCTGGCGCGTTCAAGGAGAGGACTTTAACCACTACACTGTCTCGCTGGGCCCTGATCTCTGCCTCTAAATACATGACCTTTTATTATTATGCCTGAGGCATGAGAAGCTTGGGGGAAGAGGCAAACATTGAGAAACAGCATGTCAAGGAAGTACATCCCGCACGGAGAGGCCTGGGACCAAGTCCCACCACTACTTCCATTCCAGTTTGCTGCCAACAGACAACCCAAGAGGTGGTGCACAACGGCTCCAGTACTGGGGTCCCACCACCCACAGAGGAGACCTGCATGGAGTTCCTGGCTCCTACCTTAACCTGGCCCAGAGTATTGTTAAAGTTACAGAAAGGTCTGTGTATTTAAAACGGGGAAGAGGGTGAACAGAGAAAATGTGATTTATGAAGAAGCCTCTCTACGGACTGAAGACTATCCAAGTGAAAGAAAAACTAAGAAAACTAAAAAAGTCGGCAGGCCAGAGGCCTGCCACTCTCTCTGGGATATTTTACACAAATCTTGGCACGCTCCACTCACCAATATTGGCAGGAAAGGGGACTTCGTGCACAGCGGGGTCCAGGTTGATCACGTAGGGTGGAGAACCCTGGCTATGCAGGTGTCCTGTGAGCCTCTGCAGAAATGGGGGAAGAAGATTGGAGGGAAGAGAAGGCAGGGATGCCAAGCCAATGTCCATTCCTTCACTTAGCATGCTTCAAGACTTTGCCACTACTTCCTTCCGTCTGAAATACTTCCAACATCAGTTCTCGCTTCCAGGGCTCCTTTTCCTGATCACCCATCAAACAGAGCCTTCCCCACTCCATGTATTTCCTTACACTGGTCGCTCCGCTAAAACAGGAGCTCCATGACAGTAAAAGCCTTGTCAATCTCACTTTCGATAGTTTCCCCATGCCCGGAACACGAGGGTGGCACGATAAGTAACTCCGCCAACCTTAACCGAAAACCAGTGCGCCTGGAGAGGCTCTGCCTTTGAGAGGCTGGTAATTTCACCAGGACATCGTGGCAAGCCGAACCAAGCCTGCACTGAGGATGCGAAGAGGGACCCACGGAAGCCGGGCGAGGGTCCTTTAAGTCTGAACCCCAACAGCCAGAGTCGAGTCCCTCAAAACCACGCGTCGGCATCTCCAATTCCCCACCGACCTCCGTCTATCCTCCACGCCACAACCCCCGTGCCCCCTTCCAGCGCCCGCGCAGTGTCCGTCACCTGCACAAAGGTGGTTTTCCCGGATCCCGCCATCCCCAGCACCAACAGACACACGGGGGAGCGAGGACCCCCAGACGCCTGGGGTTCCGCTGCCGCCGCGAGCGCCGCCATCTTCGCCCAAGCCCCGCCCCTCACCACAGAGACGCGCTGCGGCTAGAGAGGCCTTTGCGACGTTCTAGATTGCGCGGGAGAATAGAGTCGAACGCCGAGACTCGACGGCCACCTGGGGCAGCGGGTCCGAGGCTGGAGGCCTGCTCCTGACAGTTGGGACGGAAGCCAGAGGCGCTGAGAAGAGAGAGAAGCAGCATTGACAGTCCCTGGCACCCCGGGGAGGGAGACGGGAGACGAGATGGGATCCCAAGGGCCAACCCCCCACAACCCGAAAAAGAGGGGCGTGCGGCTCTTTTTGGAATCCCAGAAAACAAGGACGGAAGACGCTAGGCCCCTACCCTCTAGAACCTGTTTTGCACCTGAGGAGATTAAACAGCTCCGGGCTGGACTGTCCAGACCTGGAACTAAATGGGATGCCTGGGGTTGCTGGGCAATGCGGAGACCGGTGGAGGCCCAAACCGACCAACTCCAAGAGCTTTCGACCTTCACAACTCCTAATGTGAGCGCCCGCTCCTCGGCCATCACCGCCCGTGAGCTGCGCGGTTGCAATAAAAGGCTGGACTCCAGGAGCCTGTGAGTGCGAAGTACAGCTTCCATGACCCCGGCAAGTCCCCGGGCGGATGCTGAAAGAGCTGGAAAAAGTATTCGTACTCCCCATCATCCAGCCTTTTTCTTCTGTAGCCTTGGATCTGGTTCCTAAGATCTGAGTTTCACACTTAGGTTCTGTCACTTATGATGACATCATAAATCTGTCTGCACCTGGTTGACAGAAAATATGTCCTGGGGCTATAGTGCTTGTCTGTTACGAATTGTCAGGTCGCACCCAGTCATTTTCACCCCTGGTTGTATTTCCCAAGCCTTGCAGAGTGTTTGGAATATGACAGGTCTCAAAAATAGTTTGTTGGGCGAGCGTTGTGGATGCATGCACCGCTGGGTTGAGCTAGCACTTGGGACATTGGCAATTCCCTGTCTCAGTGCCTGGGATCAAGTTCAGCGCTCACTTTCAGTCTAAAGAGCCATGCACCTAGCGAGCAGCCGCTGCTGGCCCAGGTGCCTGGGTTCTGTAAGGTCTTCTTTTCGGTATAAGCTCTTGACGGTTTGCCATCACAAGCCAAAATACCAGATGCGGTGAGCCATGCAAATTTTATTCCAGCAGGGAAGATGGCAGCGGAAACAGGAGCAGAAGCAAAGAGGGAGAGAGGTGTCTTCTTCCATACTGGCAAGAGGGCACTGAAAGAGAAGGGGGAGAGAAGAGGAGAGCAAGAAGAACCAGCGTGGCACGCACGAGGAGATTTCCTTTATGGCTGGGGGGAGGCATCATGGGGCTATGAGGGATTAGTGGGTAGCACCATGGGGTGGCCAATGACGGACTGGTGGTTAGCACCACCAGGTACAGTGCTATGAGGTTACAGCAGATTGGTGGGAACAAGGCTATGAGATTACAACAGATTGGCAGATAATCAAATTTGAACCTAAAGGGAGCATGTATGAATCTTAAGGAAGCCAGGACCTAGGGGAAGCAGATATTTTAAATGGTGCCAAGTCCAAAATGGCAGGAGTCTTCATGGCCAATGCTCAAGTTGCTCCTTACAGGTCCCTGCGACCCAGCTGAGCAATCCAGATGGGAATTCCTGGCTCCTGGCCCCGCCCTAGCAGTTGCAGGCATTTGGAAGATGAACCAGATTTGGGGAGATGTGTTGCCATTCAAATAAGTAAATAATCTTTATTTATTAAAGATTTATTTATTTTTATTGGAAAGTCAGATATACAGAGATATTCCGTCCGATGATTCATTCCCCAAGTGAGCACAACGGCCCGTGTTGAGCCAATCTGAAGCCAGGAGCTTCTTGGTCTCCTATGCGGGTGTGGGATCCCAAGGCTTTGGGCCGTCCTCCACTGCTTTCCCAGGCCACAAGCAGAGAGCTGGATGGGAAGTGTTGCTGCTGGGATTAGAATCGGTGCCCAAATGGGACCCTGACGTGTGCAAGGTGAGGACTTTAGCCGCTAGGCTGTTGCCACCTACTAGTCATTTTTTTTTAAATGCTTCATTGGATAAATAAAGGACAATTGTGGATTTAAAAATATATATATTTATTTATATTAGACAGTCAGATATACAGAGAGCAGGAGAAACAGAAAGTAAGATCTTCCATCTGATGATTCACTCCAAGAAGCCACAACAGCTAGAGCTGAGCCAATTCAAAGCCAAGAGTTCAGAGCCTCTTCATGGTCTCCCACGTGAGTGCAGGGTCCCAAGGCTTTGGGCTGTCCTCGACTGCATTCCCAGGCCACAGGCAGGGAGCTGGATGGGAAGTAGCAGGGATACTGGGATTAGAACCAGCGCCCATATGGGATCCCGGTGCGTGCAAGATGAGGACTTTAGCCAGTAGGCTATCGCACCAGGCCCCAATTGTGGAATTTTTTTTTTAATTATGAATTAAGGGCCCAGTTCATTGTCTCAGCGGCTAAATCCTCACCTTGCAAACACTGGGATCCCTTATGGATGCTGGTTTGTTTCCTGGCTGCTCCACTTCCTATCCAGCTGTCTGCTTGTGGCCTGAAAGCAGTCAGTGGATGATGATCCAAGCCCTTGGCACCCTGCACCTCCATGAGAGATCCAGAAGAAGTTCCCGGCTCCTGACTTTGGATCGGCTCAACTCTGGCTGTTGTGGACGCTTGGGAACCAAGCCAGCAGACTGAAGATCTTTCCCTCTGTCTTTCCTTCTCTGTGTAAATCAACCTTTCCAATGCAAATAAATATTTTAAAATATATAAATTCAATTTTCACAAAAAAAAAACTGATTAAAGAAATGTTTCCTTTGTTCTTCTTGCAGGTTTCCTGAAAGTCCCAAAAGTCCCCCTCTGTCCTATCTCAGTTTAATAAACAGTCTTCTACAGCCTCACAAGCGAACTAATGTAGAAAATCGGATCCGGAAAAGAATGGCAAGGGTGAGGGAGCTGGACACGCAAATCAAAGAAGCTCGGACCCAGCAGCAGATCCTACTGCAAGACACCCGGCAGCTGCACAGGGAAAAGCTGCACTTCCAGGCTGAAAACACGTTCTTTCTGGAATACCTGACCCACAAGACTGAAGAATTGGCCAAGGAGCCCACGAAGCTGTGGACAGAGTACATCCAAGAAAGTGGGGCAGTCAAGAGGCGGAGACAAAGATTAACCTCCAAATATGCCAAGAAGCTGTCGGTGCTGAAAGCTGAGCTGCTGCAGAAGAGAAAAGCACAAGCCCGCCTGAAGCAGCAGCTGCAAGAGCTGAAAGATGTTTCGCTCTTGAAGGAGAAACAGGACCTGCAGATCCAGAAACTACAGGAGGAGCAGAGCAGAATCGAAGCCCAGAGCGCCAGCGAGAGACACGCTCAGTTCCTCAAAGAAAAGGCCTTGTTAGAGAAACAACTGAATGAGCCTGATGCGAGGCTCTTGGATAAGAAACAGAGGAAGGAGCATCAGGAGAAGGCCCAGGCCTTGAGATCAGCAGCAAAGCGGTCCCATTTAAAGTTCTGCCAGGGCGTGCACATGGAGAACCAGTGCTTACTCAAGGAATGCCGGCAGCTGAAGCAGCAATCCTGGAAACTGGAGGCGAGGCAGAGCCGGTTAGAAAACCAGAAGCAGCAGCTGGAGCAGGGACAGTGGTTTGTGCAGAGCTTGCTGCGTGGCAGGCAACAGCTGCAAAAAAGGCGGAATGGATGCCCTCGGGGCCAGGGTGCCCCCCAGACTGCACCGAGTCAAGGAAAAACAGCCCACAGTAATTCTTGTAGTTCCTAATAGGGAACACTTGTGAATTCACATTGTCATGGCAGAGCTTAAGTATTGCTACAAATGATCAGGTGCTTTTTCCTAGCAGTCTTGTGAAGTGACCTGCTTCCTTTAACTAATTCTTTATAAAATGTCCTTATGTTGATAAAAGACATTCCACAAATTCTCAACTAACCTAACAGACATCACCATCTGCCAAACACCCACCCATTAAACTACCCCCCAAAACACCAGCTTGAGGAAGTGAATGCAAAACAATTTAGGTTCACCTAGCCACGTTAGATTTCTTTATAGAGAAAATACCAGCAAAGACAGAATATCAGACTGAACAGTGCTTTCTGCTCTATAAACAAAGATCAGCTCATTTGTATTCCTTTTGGCTAACTTAGCAGAAAAAGTTCCTTTTACAAGTTTCTGCCAGTGGTCAGACAGCTCCTTTTACCAATTTCTCACGCATGAAAAAGTTACCTGGTAACAGCAAGCTCACTAAAAGCTAGGTAGACTTTTTCATCTTAACTGTGAATAAAATGAACATATATGAGGAGTTGCATGGGGACATCTATTAAATTGCCTCCTACCAAACCATTTTCTTTGAAAAAAAATCTTTTTAGCTTAAACAGGTGATAGGATGCCTCTGCTTGTTTCAGGAAAATTTACCAAAAATATTTAGACTTAAGAATTTTTTTTTTCAGACTGAAGAATCTTGCGCCACCCCTTTCCTCACCAACATTCTAAATTTAAAGATAGGGAAAATGCTTAAAATGTTATATATACATAACAACTGTTGTCATTTGATGTCATCCATTTATCCCAGGTGCAATCTACAGTACACCAAGTTCCTGTGGCAATGTACGGCATCCATTTAGGCCCATTTAATAGAAATTTATATAGACTTTTAAGGCAGTTTTTTTTTTAACGTTTTTTGACAAAGTGAGGTATGCCCAATAACTTATTTATTTATTTATTTAAGATTTATTTTTATTACAAAGTCAGATATATAGAGAGGAGGAGAAATAGAGAGGAAGATCTTCCATTCAATGATTCACTCCCCAAGTGAGCACAACGGCTGGTGCTGTGCCAATCCAGAGCCAGGATCCAGGAACTTCTTCCGGGTCTCCCACACGGGTACAGGGTCCCAAAGCATAGGGCCGTCCTCGGCTGCTTTCCCAGGCCACAAGCAGGGAGCTGGATGGGAACCCATAACTTATTTAAATGCTGAATCCAAACATAACATAAACCCATATTTAACATTGCTCTTCTTTGGGAAAATACAATTAATTTTATTTTCCAGAAATTCTCAGTGATGGAAAACTTGTTTCCTCAATTTTCATTTTTATGTATTGATGCTTTATTTACATGTAAAATCAACTCACTTAAAATGACTTAGGATCCTCTCAATGTGCTTTTTAACAATTTTTGTTAAATATGTAGCAACTTAAGTCATTATACATCCTTGGGTTTTTTTTTTTTTCCTTAGCCTATTCCAATCCACAACCTGATTGTCCATTATGAGATACGGCTAGAATTATGAAATACTATAAAAGCTGTAAAATTACTTGGAGCTTCTGCGTTACAAATAAATCAACTCAAAGTATGGGCAAAGCAAGTTAAAGAATACATCAGGTGTCCCACTTATATGATTTGGAAATATGTATAATGACACCTTGTTGCTAGATGTGTATATGGACATAAAGATCTGCATAGGGCTGTTAGATATCAGACTTAGGATAGTGTTTCTAGGGGTCCACATGGACTAGAGCTGAATTTTTTTTAATTATCTTATTTTGATAATCTTTACATAGTTGATTAGGGCACAAAGGGTTAAGGGCTAAAAGAAAGTGGTAAGTCCATTCCTTCCACATTTTCTCTTTTTCTGTATTATTATTATTTTTAAAGATTTATTTATTTATTTATTTATTAAGATTTATTTTTTTTATTTTTTTTTTATTGGAAAGGCGGATATGCAGAGAGGAAAGACAGAGAGGAAGATCTTCCCTTTGATGATTCACTCCCCAAGTGAGCCCAATGGCCGATACTATGCCAATCCGAAGCCAGGAGACTCTTCTGGGTCTCCCACACAGGTGCAGGCTTTGGGCCATCCTCGACTGCTTTCCTGGGCCACAGGCAGGGAGCTGGAAGGGAAGCAGGGCTGCCGGGATTAGAACCGGCGCCCAGGGCCTGGCGCGGTGGCGCAAGTGGTTAAAGGTCCTCACCTTGCACGCCCGGGATCCCATATGGGCGCCGGTTCTAATCCCGGCAGCCCCGCTTCCCTTCCAGCTCCCTGCCTGTGGCCTGGGAAAGCAGTCGAGGACAGCCCAAAGCTTTGGGACCCTGCACCCGCATGGGAGACCTGGAAGAGGCTCCTGGCTTCAGATCGGCATAGTATCGGCCTGTTGCGCTCACTTGGGGAGTGAATCATCGGACGGAAGATCTTCCTCTCTGTCTCTCCTCTCTGTATATCCGCCTTTCCAATGAAAAAATAATAAAAATAAATCTTTAAGAACCGGCGCCCATATGGGATCCCGGGCGTGCAAGGCAAGGACCTTAACCACTGCGCCACCATGCCGGGCCCAAGATTTATTTATTTTTATTGGAAAGACAGATATACAGAGAGGAGGAGAGACAGATCTTCCGTCCGATGATTCACTCCCCCTGAAACCAGGATCCAGGAACTTCTTCTGCGTACCCCACATGCGGGTGCAAGGTCCCAAGAATTTGGGCTGTCTGTGACTGCTTTCCCAGGCCACAAGCAGGGAGCTGGATGGGAAGTGGAGCTGCCGGGATTAGAACCAGTGTCCATATGGGATCCTGGTGCGTTCAAGGCAAGGACTTTAGCTGTTAGGCCATGCCGCCGGGTCCTCTGTATTATTTTTTAAGGTTTATTTTATTTTATTGCAAAGTAGGATATACAGAGAGGAGGAGAGACAGATGTTTCGTCCGATGATTTACTCCTAAGCAGTCACAATGGCAAGAGCTAAGCCAATCCAAACCCAGGAACCCATAGCCTCCTCCAGGTCTCCCATGTAGGTGCAGGGTCCCAAGGCTTTGGGCTGTCCTCCACTGCTTTCCAAGGCCATAAGCAGGGAGCTGGATGGAAGGGGGGCCACTGGGATTAGAACTGGTGTGTATATGGGATCCCAGCGCATGCAAAGTGAGGACGTTAGCTGGTAGGTCACCTCGTCGGGCCATGGAATTTAGTTAATATTGTGTAAGATGGATATGAATTGATGGATGTTTCTGGTGTCTGAAATATTTTTTTAATCTTTATTTTTAAAATTTTTTCTTTAAGATTTATATTTTTAAATTTTTATTGGAAAAGCAGATATACAGAGAGGAGAGACAGAGAGGAAGATCTTCTGTCCGATGATTCACTCCCCAAGTGAGCGCAACGGCCGATGCTATGCCCAGCTGAAGCCAGGATCCAGGAACTTCCGGTATCGTACACGCGTGTGCAGGGTCCCAAGGCTTTGGGCTGTCCTTGACTGCTTTCCTAGGCCACAAGCAGGGAGCTGGATGGGAAGTGGAGCTGCTGGGATTAGAACCAGCGCCCATATGGGATCCTGGTGCATTCAAGTGAGGACTTTAGCCACTAGGCCACACCACCGGGCCCTGAAATCTTTTAAAAGTGTTAACTGCTTGGGGCCTGGCGTGATAGTGTCGCAGCTAAAGTCTTCACCTTGAACATGCCGGGATCCCATATGGGCGCTGGTTCTAATCCCAGCAGCTCCACTTCCCATCCAGCTCCCTGCTTGTGGCCTGGGAAAGCAGTCACAGGCAGCCCAAATTCTTGGGACCCTGCACCCACATGGGAGACTTGGAAGAAGTTCCTGGCTCCTGGCTTTGGATTGGCTCAGCTCCAACCATTGCAGCCACTTGGGGAGTGAATCATCAGATGGAAGATCTTCCTCTTTGTCTCTCCTCTTGTCTATATATCTTTGTAATAAAAATAAATCTTTTTAAAAAAAAAAGTGTTAACTGCTTGTATAAGGAACCTTTCTTATGTCATCTTAAGCTTGTATTTTCCTCACCCTATAGTGAAAAGCATTTACAGAAATGGCAGGAGTGACAGAGATCTTCCATGCACTGGTTCACGCCCTAAAAGGCAGCAACAACCACGGGCTTCACCCTGGTTTCCCCACACCACGCAGCAGGGGTCCAAGCCCTGGGCCATCCTCTGCTGCTTTCCCAGATGCTAGATCAGAAGTGGAGCAGCTCAGACCCAAATCAATGTTTTTATAGGATACCAGCATTACAGGCAGTGGTTTAACTTCATGTGCCATAATGCAAGCTCCTAGACCTTTATTTCCTGCTTACTGGTTGGGAAGTAGCTCTTCCTCATAATGGCATGTAGTAATCTTTCATTTCATGCCCTCCAATCCCTCTGAGTCCCATCTTCCTGGTATCTAGCCAGAGGAAGGGAAACAAAAGCAAAGAGGTGTACTCTCATCCTTAACAGCTCCATCCGGCAAGCAGCGCCCATCATGCTCAGATTCCATGGGAAGGATGTTGGCTGACTAGTTCTTCACCACAGAGGAGAGGAATTAGGGGCACAACTGGGAAACGTAATCTAGCCATGTGTCCTCCTAGGCAGGAGATTTTGGTAGAAGGCTGGGAGTCCTTCATGAACACCTGCAGTATCTACTGTTACCTGTGCTGCAGTAAACATCCTTGCTCACAGCTCTCGATGTACCTGGGCAATAGGAGGGTCTCTGTATACACCGAAGATGGGGAAGTATATCAATGACAGCAGGTACTGCCAAGCTGTTTGCTTTGCTCCACAACCTACATAGAGCTAATACTGTTGGACTTCATTTGTTAGTCAATTAAAAAAAAAATTTTTTTTTAAAGTCTCTCTCAGTGTGATTAGGATTATCCATGTTGAGTTCTGCTGATCTCTGATCTTACAAAGAAAAAAGGATCCTAAAAGAGCCTGGGCAAGTTTCCCATTGTGATTGATTTAATTCTCGGATGGCAGATTTCAAGGGTGAAAAAGATTACTGCACAACTGC